TCAATATTTTCATGTCTTACTGAGTAGACCATGTTCATTTTTAAGTTATGCTCCCTTTACAGTAAACAAAAGAGCAATAAAGATGGGTATGGTCAGCTTGGGGTTCCAGATAAGACTTCACTTAGCTTCATGGTGGCCAAATTGGCTTTTAAATACAGTCTGTATTCTTATATCTGTTTATAAAATTATGCATACGTAGGCAGCAGTGTAATGCTCCGTTTTAGTTTCATCTATAAAAATTCATATTTGCAAGTAAGATGGATAAAATGCTGTATAAATGTTGATTCTGCAAAGTAAGCATTAACAGTGGATACACAATTTAGTAAAGAAAAATGAAACAGCACCTCGTGTCACTTTAAAGGCAGATGATATTTAGAAAGTGCAGCACGAGCTCTACACTTCTCTTTCCACTGAATGTAACTGGAGCAAACTAGTTTCAAACCCATCGGAAGCTGGAGACAGGAAAATCCTGGAAACATCCATTTTATTCCACAAGCACATACTGCATCTCCATGTTGTCTCTTTTTTTCCTGCACAATATTGATCCCTTCAACAAAGAGAAATCCTTGACTGCTTACTGAAGCAGAAACACATATTTCCATTTGGGCGCATTACTGTTGCTCTCGCACATGTGCTCCAACCAGCATCCAGAGTTCTGCACGTGTGATTTTGTGTTCAATCACTTTCTCATTCCTGCACATTCAAATCCCAAATCTGCCAGAGGAGGCAAGAGTAGAAGTTGAAAAAGAGGATATGTAATTGTATAACTACGCAGCATTTTAGCCCTCTTCAGTGGCGTTACATCAAATAACTTCCCTCCGACCGATCTTTTTGGCACTCTTTTCAGGACCCCTGAGAGAACCAGAACAGGTGTCTCCAGAAAACCTCCCACAGTCGGATGTGTGGATGTGTCAGGTGGGGCCCACAGTTACTTTGACCCATGCTAGAAGCCAAGCCCCTTGAGAAACTGACACTGCATGCATCAGGATCTCATTACTGGCTTACTGTGCATATACACTGTGTCAAATAGGGCTTAGATCTCAGGCTATGTTGTCACTTTATCTGAACTATATTTTCTCCCCTCTATATATTCAAGAGCTTAAAACATTCATTTAGAAAACCTGATCCCATTATCTTTTTTCATGAGATTCCAACATGTAGACATCCACAGCTGCTCATCAAATTTAGCACCTTATTTACTAAATGTCCGCAGCTTTTTCCAAGTCAAGGTTTTTCATGATTGTTCTGCCGGGGCAACTCTTTTGACTCGTCACGCAGCTGTTTACTGTGCTCGGAAAAGCGCTACACTGTTTTCCTTCGACTTTCAAAACAGTTTGTACCATCACGTGCACATCAAGTTACCAAGCCACGCATCGCACAATCATAAATAAATTCACTGCATTAAAAGGAAGAAGCGGTTTCTCATACCAAGACCCAACACCGCTGGACGAATGAGAAACATATGCTGATAGAACTATTACCTTAAAGAGTTACGCAAAGTGGTTGAATGAGCGTCAATTTGTCGAAGTCAGTCACAGCCTGTTGACGCAAAACGGTTCATAAATCACACAATCGCAGCGATTTCACCTAATCCTCGCTGCATTCTTCATACAGCATCCAAATCGCCCCACGCTGCCAAAAGTAAAGATCGTCCTGGCTACAAACTTTTGGCTTTGGCCAGCTGCATCAACCTGATTCACTCTTGACTGAAATATTTCAGCTGCGTCTGATTTTTTCGAGAGTAATCAATTAGTTTCCCCAAATAAACATAAAAAGGGGAAATAAAGTTGCAGGCTATTTAAAAATTATTCCGCATTCCTAATAGGGTGACAACAGAGATTTTCAAGATTAAAGTTGATGTGTTGTGGTAAGTTGGCCAGCTTTCTCACATGTCAAAGACGCATGTAGTCCAGCTTCATTACATCTGCTCTTTGGTTTAATCTTGTAGGGAAGTTTTTTTTCCCCCTAAAAAATTATTTTTATAGCCTCTCTGCTTGATTTAACAGTGGGCAATAAATAAGAGAAAGGAGATGTCATGCAAAAAACGTCAAGAGCTGCACTCAAACTCACAACATTGCTCTTGTATGGTCTCCAGTTGCCTGATGTACCAAGAAGGGGCCAAAGGAGGGCAACGTTTTACAGCAACATATAACTCAGTGAATGAAAGCTGACATCTCTTGGAATGGGCAAACTTGTTGTGGTTCGGTAGCCCCGCATCACTTCTTCAAAACCAATAACCACATATCAGTTCACTTTTCTTCTGAGAAATGGGAAGACACACACAAACACTCTCACACAGATACACACTTCCTGGCTGCCTACTTTGGATGAGATGCACTCTGATAGATAGCGTTTTTTGGTTTAGCAGCAAATTTCAAGGCACGTTTTCACCCCAATGCAGAGTGATTCTCATGTATTCGCCTCTTGCAAGCTGATTTGGCTTTATCCTGCAGTGTTTCTGCTAAGACGGGTGAACTGTTATTTTAGTTTATTTTGATTCGACCGAGGCATCCAAAATGTCTGTCACTGTGAATAACTAGTTGAAGTGTGCTGTTATTAAGTCCCCATATACTCAGAAATATGTTTTGTTTATTTTCACCTTCACCGCACATAATGATTTTTTTCTCAAACTCTCTCTGCAGAGCTTAAACCCGAGTTTAACACACATATGGAAGAAGGATTTTTATGGAAACACAAAATGACTGGAAATTAGTCCAATGTGCTGCTTATGTTGAAACCTGAGAAAAGCATTTCAAGAAAGTGGGAAAAATCTCTCAAAATTGTTGCCTACGAGTATTTTAAATATGTAGTAGTGCAGACAAAGATTCTGAGATGCTTTGCCTCATAATTTCTGTGGTTACAAAGTGGCCTGCGTATCCTAGACTTCCCTACAGCCCCTTTGCTCTGCTTGTGTTTAGCATTTGACGATAAGGGACTACCTGAGTCACTTTAATATTTGTTTAAACTTATACGACCTTAAAATGAAAGCCAGAAACACCTCATCAACCCACTAGATTGGACTGTCATAAAACACCATCAGTCTTCTTACCAAAGCTTTGGGTTACAAAAGAAAAAGTAGAAAAAAGAAATGTATGTTTGTTGGCTTGATGGGTCCATTAAGGATGGCATATCACACTTTTGCAGATTAAATAGAACACAGATTTGGTATTTATACCATAGGGAATGACAGGACTATCTAGCCTGAGACACTTTTCTTTTCTAATGGAGTCGTGTTTAATGAATCTTTATTACCCTCTGGTGTCAGCAAGTGGTATTACGTATGTACGTGTATGACATATTCTTTTTGCCGTTTCCACATTCCAGCTAATCAACAGATGCAAGGATACTGATGGTTACACCCATTTAAGGAGGATGTACACTGTATCACAAGATACAATAAGATAGTTGATCAAACTGTTTCACTACCTCATCTACACAAAGGATTTTGTAGAGGGTGCAGGAGCTGTGGCAGTTGTTGGAGGCAGTTGTTTCACTTAAAACGACAACTTTAATTGCTACATTTTGACTTTATTCTCAAATAGTGCTTTGAGTTTAATCTAAAAATGTATGTGCTGTGCAGAGCAACAGGGGAACTGTAGGTGAACTGAGCAGAGAGTCCAGAGTTTGGAGAACTAATAGAAGCAGAGTGAAAGAGTGAAATCTAAAGTATATCAGCTGAATCAAATTGGTTTAAGGCAGAGGAGCAGAGCTGAGACAGAGCAGCAGTAGTGGTTGGGTGGACTGGTGGAGTTGAGGCAGGTGTGGACAAGATGTTAAACTTTCTTCTTCTACTCAAATTCAGTTTTGTAAGGGGGCTGGAGCCCTGCTGCCACAGGTGACAGGGCAAGGTTCCCCATGGACAGGTCTCCAATCCGTCGCAGCCAACCTGAGCTTAAACTGCCTATGTATATCAGATTGATCGCAGACTTACTTCGTCTGATAGGAAAAATTTATGGCAGGTTTTAGGTACAATGTTGGTATGCCTGACAGTCTCATTTTGCAACAGAAAAATAAAGTGAGATAACTTTATCTTACTGGATAAAACAGACACTGACAAAGTCTAACTTTGCAGATATAACTTGCAGTTTAAAAAAGGAGATAAATTGCAATATAGTTTAATAACTGTTAAAGTTGAATGCAAACCCAGAACCACATGTGCTACTTTTACGATAATAAATTTACTAAAATATAATATTTAATTAAAGTCATTAAAATGTATTTATTATGTTGTCATCATTGTTGACATACATTCTAAACAGTTGTTTTGTTTTGTTCATAAAAATATATATTTTACCTTTGTGACCTGTAATTAAATGATATAAATAATTTCTAAAACTAATGGAATCCCTTAAATTTAACAGTTAATGAGTCCAGATTTGTATTCACTGCATTTATTTTGAGATCGATTGCTTCTTTAAATTTTTTTCTTCTACGTACATACACTACATTACCAGCAGGGGGAGCTGGCCGCATGCACTCCATTAGCTAGTGGCAACGAAAGTGATTTCAGCCAATTACATTCAAGGGACGCCCACTCTGTGTGCTGCTAAATGCTACATTAAAAGACACGAGGCCGTCGTTACTACTCTTACCCACTCAAATCGAAACAAGGAAGCGACTTACGACGTTTCTTGGGTTTCAGAAGAATTTATCACGTGTATGACGAAAACGTTGCGCCGCCCATGCCTCCCACGCGCTTCCCGCTTTTCCTGTGACCAAATTTGGCATCGGAGCTGGAAGGGAAAAGAAGAGGTCTCACTCAGCCCGAGTTTGTGAGACCAACAACAAAAAAGAGTGTAACCGCACCAGGAAATGTTGGGATATAGTATAACTTTCTGTTAAAAACATTTTGTTTTTTAAAGATTATATCGGACATAATAACTATATGAGAAGAAAAAGTCTATTATTACAACGTCATATTTGTTCTCGTTGTATTAGTCATATGTTCCACTTCATTATGTAGAGAAAATCCCGTGTTTTGATTGGGCCAACAAAGAGTAGACGATCTTCGCGCGAGGCTGTCTGCAGAGTTTCTCGAAGGTGGCGCAGGTTCACACATGTCTTCATCCCGCGATCCAGGTTTGGCAGGCGGCTGGGTGTGGTTCCTCATGCTGAGGGACGTTTCACCAGATGGCCGGGTGGTGCATAGTTCTAGGCCTGCGCACTAACAGCTGAAGGACGAGGGACATCGCGAACTGGAGGTGGCATGGACGCGTAGTGGGATAGTGGTGTTTGGTTGTCTTTTAAATTTGTTCATTTACACTGTTTGGAAAGGTAGAAAGGTGTCTGAGGCAGGAACACTGGGCACTAATACAGAATCAAGGTAAGTGTCACGTGTTTGCAGGTGTGTACATGGGTTTTGTGTTTAAGCAGTTTGGTCATTTTCCAGTCGTGTTTCTCTGTGCTCTGAAACAGCTGCTAACCTAACAGTTTGCGTAAGGAAAACTCAGTAAACACAGAGAAGGCCGTTGTGGGATTGACTATGAATAATTGGTGATATGGTTTTCCCTGTTCCTGAAACGGTCATGTGTTGTTAGGAGCAAACAGCAAACAATTGCCCTCTGATTGGCTGTTTGGCTCTGGAATGCATCTCAAAGACACTATTCAGAGGGGGGAGTAAAAACGTTCAAAGAAATCCTTTATGTCAGACTCGATTCATGTTTTAAAAACTCTGAGAACAGTTTTGATCACAGCCTGGCTTTGCGTGGAACAAATTAATAATAGTATATAACAAATTTTGCTTCTTTGTATTTTATATCCTGGTTGCTTGTGCCTCAAAGGTGGAGAATGTATATATTATTTTCTTTATTATTGTTTTTCAAACGTTTAAAAACAGGAACTATTAGAAAGAAACAGTTGGGAAATAGGCTAATATACTGAATCTTGTGTCTATGTATGGAAAGACAGTATATGAGACAAAAACGGAGAAGAAAAGGACTATAATGTGGATTGGACTGAAAGAAATATGGCAACTGGCCTGATGGAGTGATGAATCCAGATTTGACATTTTTGGTTCAAATCGTTGTCAGTTGAGGAAGGCCCACATGCATCTCTCAGGTCCTGTGTCTGGTCATTTATCTTTTGTTTGTTTTTTTTTAAATATTTCTCAGAGACACAATTTTCAAGTACTGTCACTGTTTGCTATAAATAGTTTTTTAGTCCTGTCATTACTAATTTTGTCCTACACTCGTCCAGTTTCCTCATTTGTTTGTTGATTCTTTTTTTCCCCTCCTTGATGGTGCAAAGATACTGTTTTTATCCCTGTCAAACAGTGTTATATTTGACATGTTTCATAGTCTCAACAAAAGAAATGGGAACAATTATAATTATGTGTGTTTGCAACAGGCTGCTTGAATCAGAGAGACACGGCACTGGTTCTAGAGTTGGATCCTTTTTTTAGTGGCTTGACAAGCAAAAAAATGAAAAACAGAAACACTTCTTTTAAAGTGGTCATGTACAAGGACTGAAAAGCCTGGTGAATTGTTGCTCAAAGCTTCTTTTTAAAATATAAAAAGTTCGGGCTACTTGCAAAGTATTAAAAAAAATGAGGTTGTTCCAGACTTTAGGACAGTACAGTACTGGACATAGTTTCTCTACCTTTGAGTCACAAGCAATCAGAAGCCAACAAAAAAATGAGATGATTTTATTTTATTGTTGTTACCTGATGTAATTAAATGTCTTCTTATGAACTTTTACAGAACATGGGGCTTCTTCAGCTGCTAAAATCCCAGTTCTTGTGCCACCTGATCATCTGCTATGTCTTTCTGGTCAGCGGCCTTATTATCAACCTGTTGCAGCTTTGTACTTTACCTGTGTGGCTGGTCAGTAAGCAGCTGGCCCGCAGAATCAACATCAGACTGGCCTACTGCATCTCCAGCCGTATGTATAACCTTAGCTGTACCATTACAACCTGGCTGTTTCCCAGAAGCAGAAAAGTTTTTTCTTCTGCTTCTGGGAGAAGAAACCTTTAGTTTCAGTGGTTTCAGTGGTGCTGTTGGTGTGATGTTATGACAATCCTCTGCTGCACGAGTTCCCAGAACTCTGTACTGCATGACATCATTTCACAAAAGCAATCCAGGTGCCCTTTACTCACATGTACCTGTTTGCGTCTTTGTCCTTAGAGATGGTTGCTATCTTGGAGTGGTGGTCTGGGACAGAGTGCACACTCTACACTGACCCAAAGAGTTATCCACTGTATGGAAAAGAGAATGCCATTGTGGTTCTCAACCACGCTTTTGAGATAGACTTCCTGTGTGGTTGGACCTTCTGTGAGAGATTTGGAGTTCTTGGGGTAAGTGAAAGTAAGCCAGAAAACTTCACCCACCCCTCAATTCAATGCTTCCCTGCAGTTCTTTCAATGTGTTCTCAACTTCCAGAGCTCAAAAGTGTTAGCCAAAAAACAGCTGGCTTATGTACCGATCATCGGCTGGATGTGGTACTTCTTGGAGATAGTTTTCTGCAAAAGGAAATGGGAGGAAGATCGAAGGACGGTGAATGAGAGTCTTGAGAAACTGCGGGATTACCCAGAAAACTTCTGGGTGGGTTTCGGTCTGTGGTAATTTTAGAATCAAGAGAAGTGAGAGTGATATTTTTGTGGCCATAATTATAATATAATTATATAACACCCAACTTTTTTCTTTTCTTTTTTGGCAAAAGTTCTTGCTTTATTGCGAAGGGACACGCTTCACACCAAAGAAGCACCAGGTCAGCATGCAGGTGGCTGAAAGCAAAGGGTTGTCCAAACTAAAGTATCATCTTTTGCCCAGAACCAAAGGATTCTGGGTAACAGTTCAGAGCCTCAGAGGGACGGGTGAGTTTGTCTTTGTCTATGTATTTAAATGTGGCCACCAGAAAGTACCCGATCAGTTTTATGGGGCGAGGGGGTGGATTTGCAAATCAAATGAAAGGTGGCGCTGACTAACCGCCGCATGTTCCGTGTTGTGCAGCTGCGGCTGTTTACGATTCCACGCTGAACTTCAGAAACAATGAAATGGCGACTTTGCTGGGGCTTCTTAACGGGAAAAAATATCACGCAGACTTATATGTGAGGTAGGAACTGATGTTTCACACACTTGTTGCTTTTCATTTCCTGTGTGCTGGTGTAACCTTCATCTCTGTGATATGCAGGAGAATTCCTCTAGAGTTGATCCCAGAAGATGAGAAGGAGTGTGCTGAGTGGCTCCACAAACTTTACCAGGAGAAGGTGAGAGTCTTAAATATTCTGATGGATGCATGATTTTCAAAAGAGACGCATTAGGTAGAGGTACTAAATCACCCAGTTTCTTATTACTGAAATAGAAGCCATACTGATTAAATATGTAGCCTAAAATAAGTGCCTCTTCTTTTTTTTTTTTTTTTTTTTTTCACACTGAATAGTAGTACTATAAATAAATGGGTGGCTCCATCCTCTTGTAGGGGTATTTTTGGTGCTGCAGGAACTGGTAAACAGTGTCTTTGAAATTTTTTGATCCAGCCACTGATCTTACAGATGTGCCCAGACAGCCAAAACCTGGATCTGGAATCATCTCGGATTTGAATTCCACATGAAAACATAAAGATTTTGGTGTAATTTAAAGAAAACGGCTCCAGCAGAGAATACAAAAAATATTAAAAAGCTGGAAGCTTTTGCACTTGAGTGAAAGATTAGTGTGAGGAAATATTTATTGCTCACCACAAATGGCATTAGTGGTAAAAATTAACTTTGAGGGTAGGAACAGTTTGGCTCGTGGACCTTTTTATGGAGATAGAGTCAATGTCATTTAACAAATTGACCTATTATATACACAGTTTTGAAGGTGTGGTGAGCTTATCTGTGGTTTTGGCTGACTGCCATGCCACCCTTTTTAATTACTTTTCAATCCATGCACTTTATAACTGAACTCTTGAATCTGGACTTGGGAATGTTAAACTTCGTACACACTTGGTTCCATTTTAGCTCTTACTGGTTTTTTTTTTTTTTGGTTTTTTTTTAGACACACGGCAGCCATGTGGCTTTAAAAGAACCAACTTTAGCCGTGCTTCCCTGTTGTGGGTTTTGGTGTTGAGCTGCTGTTGCATTAATTTGTTAACAGGATAGCTTTCAAGAGCACTACGCAAAGACTGGGCGCTTCCCGGGCCCCATAATGAGTCCTCCTCGTCGACCATGGTCCTTGATCAACTGGCTATTCTGGTCCTGCCTGCTCCTGTACCCTCTAGGCCTGCTGCTCACTCAGCTGATCAGCTCTGGATCAGTATTTACCATCGTAGCTTCCGTGGCTGTCTGCTCTGCAGGTTTGTGTCATCCATTCACAGGCAAGGTCAAGCCACCCTAATATGGTTTAATACGGCCCATCCCTCACTTTAACCAGCTCCTTTTTGTCCAAATGTTACATAAAGCAGCAGATTTGACACCTCCAATGTAAGTCTCCCTCTTTTATTTTATTAATTTATCAGTATTGGGAGCATGTCCATAACAGCATTCAGGCATGTGCTTAAAATATCAAAGTTAGATATCAAGTCATCCACCTGATTCTTTTTTATTATTATTATTATTTCACTGGTTTCACTGTTAAATGGAATTAATCACTCTAACAGCACGGGTTTTTCAAGAGCATGTTGCAGTTTCCACAATAAATAAGAGGCCTTGATACAGACTTGGAGGAGATGGCTTAGGTGTTATCAGTTATTTAAAAGAGCCAGTTAATGTGCAACATTGCTTCTCATTTCAAAGTGACGTATTCAGCCACGTCACTAAATTGTCATAATAAAAACGCTTGATAATTAAAGGGCATATGCACCACATTCAAAGTCAAATTTACTGTGGAAATAAAAATGTCCCATTTCAAAGCCTGTCAGCACTTCTTTGTGACTCACTCAAACAATGCTGTAGCTTCTCTGAATCCTGTGGTGATTTTTTTTTTTTTGTCTTTTCTTCCCACAGCTTCACTGGGAGTTCGCTGGATGATTGGCCAGACTGAGATAAAAAGAGCCTCAAACTATGGGAATAAGGAGGTTTCTCTAAACAACAACTAGTGTATTCTGGAAACGGCGTCTTTTTATTGCAGAGCTACTAATCTGCAAACTGCCGTCAGGAAAACTTGTGCCAAAACAGTCCTGCCAGACTGCCATTTGCAAGTGCAGACCTGCTTCAAAGCAAGCGCAGACAGGATAGTTTTACACTAACGCTATGCTGCAGAAGACTGGGGACTTGGTAAGCAGGTTAAACACAGGATTAAAATCAGAGTATGTTTGAGAACAGCCAAGACCAACATTTGCTATAGAAACAAATTTAATTCAACCAAAAGGCAAGTGGACTACCTCGATGATTGCACTGTAATGCACAGATGACATTTAGGAGGTGAGAGAAAATAAAAATTTTGCACAAAAAAGTGGCCTTTGTTGTTGTTTGTACTTAAAAAAAAAAAAAAAAAGTAGTGAATGAATGGTATGATGAAGATCAGGGCCTTTTTTTTCTGCTCAAATTTGGCTACAATCCAGACAAAAGAACAGGACTTCACCAGCAAATAGTTTATTGTTAAAAAAAAAAAACAACAAAAAAAAAACCTGAGCCTTCCAGTTGATATTTCCTCGTCTGCTAAGGCAAGGATGACTTAACTCCCAGTATGAGAATATTTTGGAGCATTAAGACATTGAATAGATGCTAAAGCAGCGCCTCAACTGCGACTACACTGGGCGTAATGTAGAAACTCGTAGTCAGTTTATATTCTTCAGGTAATAAGGGAGATTGACCAGCTGAATTACATCTAATCTACACGTGTGGCTTTCTTTTTTTTCTAAATAAATCAATAAGTAAACCAATGTGCCGCACGGTTCCATAAATATAGTCCGTCCGTTTATATGTTGGCAGTAAAAACAAAAGTTCCAGTAACTTTTTGTTGACATTCACTGTTGCAGTCTTTCCATCTACGGCTGTGTGACAAAGTAATTGAAGTTGGTGCGATTTGCATGGTCTGAGAGGACAAAGCTCAAACTCCATGCGTCTCCTGTTTGCCCACGACCATCAACCTTTCGTTCCGCGTATGCTGATAAAGAATGAGAAAATGGTAAAAAAATAAACTGTTAAACAGTGATGCAAGCATCCAGTGAGGAAAAGTAATCATGCAACAAGAAGGAAAAAGAGAAAATGCCAAACCACAGAGACACCTGGTGGTAACACGCCAGCAGGACACAAGCTAAAATTTCTTACCTGCTGATCCTGATGTCCTCAGGTGCTGGTTTAATGTAAATAAGTAAACAGTGAATCAATATCTTCAATAACAGAATTAAAAATATTAATAGGGAGGCTGATGCTGAACGCCTCGATTTAGACATATACGAGAAAGAATTGGATCAATAAGTTTGGATACAAACTCAAAGCTCAAGCCTCATATTAGCTGATGTTATGAAAGATGGTATCTCTGCACAGCTCCATCAACTTTATTTTGGGAAAAGTGACCTACATGTGTAGGCAATGGTTAAATTAATAAATCAGTATGAATAATTTTACACAGGAAATGGTGACTAAAAATCAAAACAAAAGATGAGTAAAAAATTACTAAATTTGAGCCACTTGAAGCACATTAACACATGAGCTCTGTATGCATCACAGGTCTTTTAAAGTTCACACATTTGCAGGTCAGGCCTCTCAAGTGTTTATAGAACATTTTCCAATGCAAACAAACGTGCCCACAGTCCAGTAGTGATTCATCATAATGTAAGCCCATTTTCCATTTACACAATATAAACCATGTAGTTAAACTATTAAAATCTTACCTTAACCTAGAGGAAATTCTCAGAAAATTTCACAGCATAGATATAGGTTGTTTTCTGATTAACTCTTAATCAAAAGATAAGATATGAAACCCTGGTCAAGTGCATAAAACAGAAGTCTCTCACACAAAGTTAAAAGCCTTAGAGAACTCCTCATTTCTGTATATTTAACTAAAAAACATTAGGACTGTGTGCAGCACTGTACTGAATCATTTTCCAACATTTGTGGAAACAGTATAAAAGGCAAAAACAGAGTTTGTACAATTCCAGCAAGCAGGAAAGTCAATATTCGGCATTACTGCCTTTATTCTTAAACATGGCCTGAACTGTCTTGTGCAAGCTTTCTTCTCATTTCTTTAGCAGTCTTCAGGAATAGTTCTCCAGGCTTCTTGAAGTTCATCTTTGGATGTTTCTGCCTTTTGTTCAGTTATGTGTTAAGACCATCACACACCGGTTCATTAATACTAAGGTCCGTTCACCACTGACTTTCACAATTACAGTATTACACAAGAACTGCTGTTGTGTAACTTAACACAACAACCATATTAATTTTTTCTTTTGAGAAACCGTAAATTGTAAATTATTGAATTTCTGTCTTATTTTAAAGGACATGACTATCAGAAACTGTCCATCTGCTGCAGATAATTTATTTCAGAACTAAAATGTCTTCTTTTGTTCTCCAATTCCCAGTGCATGATATGCCCGTGTGAAATGGCTTGATAAACAAGCAAGCAAACAAAAGCATTCTTGTGGAAATGGTCAGGACCGGGAACTGGACTGAAAATGAGTGAAAAAGAAGCCAATGTCCGAAGAGAAACTTTGGACATTTGGAACCCGGAGAACTATTGCTCAAAACCACTTTGGGGGAAAAAAAAAGAAAGCCTGGCTTCTTGCAACCAAAACAAAAAGAAATGAGTAGTGACTCACAACAAATGGTGTCACATTTGTCCTTTCTTCGAGTTTAATCTGTATCTTTATGTCATAGTGGCCTGAGGTGCTGTCACACCTTATGAAAGCACTAGCCTTGAGCTGATAATGCTGTGCCTCGCCCATCAATTCAGGCGTGTGACATGAAGACGTGGCTGTGTTTTACAGCTTTGATTCGTGCAGTACAGCACAATAGACCTACTGCAGCTGCTAAAATCCCTCTTCCTGTGCAGTATAATCAGCATCAGAATGGCCTATTGCATCACAAGCTGTGTACACTAATGCCATTCTCAGCTACACAGATCACACTTGGATGTTAGGTGTTGTTGCTTAAAGGAAGACTTGTGTAATTTTACCTTGTTGCAGTAAACACGTTCAAAAACAGTTTTGCATCCAAAGACATCAGTTTGCATAACAGTTAACATTTAAACGACTTTAACAGCAGTACTCTAAAATAAAACCTTTAAAGTGATAGCAGGCTTAGTGGTGGTTCATTTCAGAATGTTCACTATTCCCAGATTGTTTATGGAAATTCCTGTGAATATGGTCACAGGCCTTTGAGCAGAAAATGTTAGCTGTATATGTAAATCAAATTAATTTAACAAATGGTACTTCCAGTTGTGGTCAGGAATTTATGTGCACTTGTCATGGGCATGAATGTCATGGTAATTTGGGGGTTTTAATGATTTCGTTGAACTTTTATGTTTCCAGAAGTCAGGAAGCTCTTTCAGAGACATTTCTAAACAACTGCAGATTCCAAAATCATCAGTTCAAATAATCCTGCATAAGTAAAAGTTATGCAGATGTGTCACAACTTTGTCATGGTCTGGAAGAAACTGTTACCCTTAGAGAAGAGAGAGGAAATTGGTTAGGAAAGTTCAAGCGCGCCATGAAATAGAAACGTGTAGAATGGCAGCAGTCACTGTCCAAAATGAAGCAAGTTTTACATAACTGTGGTCTGAGAGGGTGTTTCAAGATAGAAACCCCTGCTCCAAAATAGACAGATTCAAGCGCAACTGAAATTTGCAGCTGCCCACATGGACAAACCAAATGTTTGCTGGAGAACCGTTTTATGGTGAGATGAGACAAAGATTGAGCTGTTTGGCCACAATGATGAGGCATGTTTGGAGTGAGGCTATCAAACCTAAGAACAATGTGCCAGATGTCAAGCATGGTGGTGGTAGCATCATGCTCCGGGACTGTTTTGCTGGTACTGGTGAAGTGGATGAAATAATAAAGAAAGAGGAGTGCCTCCAAATTCACCTCAAATCAACAGCCAGATAACTAAAACTGGGACACAGTTGAGTGTTCCAGCTGGGCAATTATCCCAAACACACATCAAAACTGGTTTTGGAGTGGAGAAAGCATGCTAACATTAAGCTTCAGGAGTGGACTCCCAAAGCCCTAAAATCCTATTGAAAATTCTTTTGACTATGAACTAACTTCAAAGTTGGGCCCGTGCCAGGAAACCAACAAGTTTAAATAAAATTTAGGGATTCTGCCAAAAGGAGTGGTCAAATATGCAACCAAAATCATGTTAGAAGCTTGTTGATTGCTTCCCAAAAGCCATACTAAGTTGGTTGAGATCCAACTTAGTATGGGACATTTTAACCACACTTCTGTGCGGGTCTATGTATATATTTGACCCTGTGTAGATTATGGCCAACCTAAAATAATGCACGCAATTCTCATTTTCTAAAGTCATTAAAGATCTATCATTCCACCCTGGAAAAGAACAGTTCAAAGAAACCATTAAAAAGCCAAAATTACGACATTCCCATGATGAGTATATGTAAACTTCTGACCACTTCTGTACCTGCTGCTGTCTTCGCTTGTGTGGCTACAGCTGTTTGCAATTGCGTGCTAAACTTCTGGATCAAAAGATGGCTCATTGGGGTAAAATACAGCAAACACTATCATACAGAAAATAAGACTAGCGAATTAAGGTCTATTCTTATCTGTTTATCTTATTTATTCACGTGAAATGTAGTTTTCTAATGTCATTAGCTTGAGGAAACAGAGTATTTATTGTAAATGCAAGGTCAAGGACACATTAAACTGATGGATTATTAAGAGTTGATACAGGCACAGACGTAACTGGGTTCTTGACGCTATATTTTCTTCATGTATTGAATGAAAAATTCACATAAAAGAAATTTACTGTGGGAAACGTCCCGCGCAAAACTGTCCTCCCTTCATTCTGATTTGCGCATGTGAAATTCTAAATATACTCTCAGCTCCCCTGGAAGTTTGACTGAGACTGGCAGAGACGCTTTGGTAATACAAAGTTCAACACTTTCCTCCAACTCAGATGATTTTACATTAACAGCTACCAGTTTCACCACTTGTGTTTTTCTTGGCACTGGTCTTCAGATGTTGAAAATGTAAGAAGAAGAAAAAGCACAGAGCTGTTTTGCTATGGATCAAAGATTGCATTATGAAATACACTCACGGTTCCAGTGCTTGTTCACCAGTCACATGGTAACAGCTCAGTGCAATTTGCCATGCAGGTCAAGATGACCGAACATCACAATAAGCAAGAAAGGTGATTTCAGTGACTTTTAATGTGGCACGGTTGGTTGTTGGTGACAGATTTGCTGGTCTGAGTATTTCAGAAACAGCTCATCTACTAGGATTTTCCTGCCCAGCCATCTCTAGGGTTTATAGTTGATAGAAAGGCAACAGCAACTCTAACAACCCCTTGTTGCAAACAAGGTATGAGTTAAAGTATCTCTGAATGCACAACACATCAAACCTTGAAGCAGATGGGCTACAACCCAGTGTGTGAATGGGTGGATGACTGGATATGTAAAGAGCTTTGGGATCCTTAGGGACTAGTAAAGCGCTATATAAATACAGGCCATTTACAACAGCAGCAGAAGACCACACCCCAACCACTCCTGTCAGCTAAGAGCAGGAAACTGAGGCTCTAATTCACACGGGCTCACCAAATCTAGACAACAAAAGTTCAGAAAATATTGCCTGGTTTAATGAGTCTCAATATCTGCTGCGACATTCAGATGGTAGGCCCAGAATTAGTCCTAAACAACATAAGGTGGGGGATATTTTCTAAGCACACAGCCTACCTGAGTATTGTCGTTCCCCATTTCTATCCTCTTATAATGAAAGCGCATCAATCTTCTTATGGCTACTTCAAACACGTCACAAAGCCTAAATTATGTTTGTTTCCTTTGAACATGACAAAGAGTTCACTGTAGTCAGATCTCAATCCAATAGCGCACATTTGGGTGTGGTAGGAGGGGAGAGTCATGTCATGGTTATAGAGCCAAAATGTCTGAGGAAAGTTTCCATCACCTTGTGGAATCTAGGCCACAAAGAATTGAGGTATTTCTGAAGACTAAGTGGGTCTGACCCAGTAATAGTTACTGGTGAGTGGATAACACATAATAAGTTAAAAATTTCACGGCGAGAGACAGACAGAACACATTCTTTAAAAAAAGAGAGTTCATTTATTAATATTGTTTGTACATGGCAAACACTGTGAGAGCAGCAGAGAACCAGAAGTTGTGTGTCAGTGTCTGTGTTCGGCCGTGAGAATGTTTTATGTTCAGCAGCAGGGAGGAAGAGCAGGCCCTGTTTCTCCTTTTCTTTGTAACGCCTTAGTCACATGAACAGCTCTTCACTGGCGGCCAGTAGACTTGAACATTGCTCCAACTTGAAATTTTCTCCTCAGCAAAGGCAAAGAAAAATAGAATAACAAAAAAAAAAAATCCTTCCCAGTGCCCACGCTTGCCAAATAGCAAGCAATACGATTTGTTGATTACATTTGGATGGTTCATTTCATAAAGGTAAAGCAGCCTCTCCTTCCATTTTGAGGCCTACCACACCTTTTCAGTCTCAGAGGGACAGACAAGCAGTAACTCCACTGTCCCCATGGGTAAACAGTTTAAAAGTGCTATAGGTTTTGCCCCACCCCCAACCACCTGTCCATTCCCCTTTGATAAAAAAATGAAAGGAAAAAAACAAGTATTCTTCAATGCCTTTTCAGAGATCTCTTCACCAGTGAGACCAAACAAATGTGGCAATAGGTATTTAACTTTACAATATTGTTTATACAGGAATTAAAACTAATTCTTTTTTCTGTTTTTACAGTATATACAGTCCCACCCGTCCTCTCTCAGTCCATAGATAAAGACACAACAAATCAATACTATATAGATCCAGTTGTCCTTTGAAATGATACTGTATTACTTCCTCAGTTTAAATCCATGTGCCTTCAGCAGTAACCTCCTGCTTCTCCGTGTCCACAGTTCTCGTTTCTTATTTGAACATGTACAGTAGTGCTTTAACTTGTAAACTTTAAAGCCACACAGGAGGTTTCGTTTATTCTTCATCCGTGCAGACCTGAAACAGATGCGAGGTCGGGGATATAATGTGAATTCCATGGAAATATTCAATTACAACTTAGAAATGTTTAACCTTCCCAGCATCTCACCTTAACAAATGGGTGGTCGAGCAGCATGCTAGCTGTCCAGCGTCGTTTGGGTTCACTCTCCAGACAGTGACCGAGGAAGTCCTTCCCTTCTGTGCTCAGCTTCTCGGGGATGGGAGGTTTGTGGCCCATGCCCACTTTGTACATGATCTGAAAGTTGTGCTCGTACTCATGCCAGGGCCTCTGCAGATAGAAACGTACGAATACGAGTTACTTTTTTTACTTGTGGTTTTGAATTTTGTTAAGTGAGTTTCCTGAAGTGGTTTACAAAAAAAAAAAAAAGGTTAAATCATGCTTAACAAGCAATATGTTTTGCAGTTTGGGGACAAACATGTCATTAGCAACAGTAACCATGCTCCCTTCACTCTGGAAGTGGTTTTTGCACAAGTGGTCACAGCTCAGACTGAAACAGCACCCTATAGCTAAACACTAGAGCTGTCATTTTGACCCCCTTACGCAGTTTAAAAATTGTGTAACTTTTTCTAAAATAGGATTATTCATCAAATACTGAATTTTAGACTTTAGACTTCAAAAAATAAGAAATTATGACCTTTACCTCAAACCACGGAGGATGTAATTTTGATGCCGTAGAAAATAATGTAAAACCACTACTGCGGCATGCAGGTTTACAGACTGTTTACAGACATGATGTGCTGCCATAACATGAGCTACAGCTACATGTGATTGATAAATAAATATGGAGAGAACTGTAGTTAGATAAAAGATGAATAATTGCTGCCAGGCTGAGGATGGGATTTTGAGCCAGAGCAGAGCAGGTCAAAGCGGAGGAGTGTGTGACTCAACATGTGGATAACCGGGTGAGTTGCTGGCTTTTCTGAACAGCGGGGGAACCGTAGCTGAGTCCACAGTGTGGAGAACAAATCTGAGCAAATAAAGAGTAAAATCCACAGAGCAGGGGCAAGGTGGAGCAGTGTGGAGGCTGCATGAGGTTGCATGTTTGGTGGCAGATGTGGTGGATGTGGACAAGATGATAAACTCTGATTTTTGTTTTTTTTTTTACTTTTCATTTTTTCCACTGTAATAATGTATTTGTTTAGATGTGTTAGCTGTTGTGTTATATGTTATATGCTTTGTTTATTAGTTTATTCTAATGTGTATTTTAACGTTGCAATCAATGACCTAAAACATTGATAAAACTAATAAAACATCTAAAAATTGAAACGTAAAACACTCATTTTGTAAAATCTAAGCTAAAATTAGAAAAGTTAAAATTAGAAAACAACAGCAGTGGTGGTCACTGCCACCAGCATGGCTCAAAATGACCCCTGCGGGCAAGCTCAACATTAAATTTAATTTCCTTTCTATTGAAGTAGCTTACTAAAACTTGGAAAAATACCAGAGTGAAGCTTTGAATGTGCGAAAAGGAAAACCCTCTCTTTAGCTTGTTACCTTTCCAGTCACCATCTCAATAAGGACGCAGCCCAAACTCCAAATGTCTGCTGCCCGCCCGTGACCTTCTCCCTTCGCTCTGGTGATAACTTCAGGTGCCATGTATGCTGAAAGAATATCAACACATCTGATATTAATAGCAATAGTATGATATAATGCATAATAACAATGCAATAATGATTTGACAGAAATATTAATGCAGCACATGAAAATGTGAAAATTATGCAAAACTGTAAAAATCACACATTTCTACAGGAGACTGCGAAAAAACAAGAACTTTCTGTTATTTGATTGTTTATCTATTACTTTTTTACTTTGGTGTTGTATTGATGGTCATGGGGGAGGTCTTTATCAGAAGCAAAAGCTGCAAAATGAATGAAAACAGTGCTCTTTCACATTTTTCAAAGCCGTCCAGTGAGCCAGACTGAAGTCTGTGGTGGGCCGATTATCATATTTTGACACTGCAGGTTTATTTAATGTGTTACCTGCTGTTCCCAGAGTGCTGTTCACCTCTCCTGGCATTGTGTGAGTGTTGTTTCTCAACTTTACTGAGCAGCCAAAGTCACCCAGCTTAATCAGGCCTGATGATGTCAGAAAGATGTTGGCTCCTGATGGGGATGAAAACAAACAGGAGGATGAGGAAACGGTTGCTGATCAAATAAAGCAACAGTGAGATAGAATAAGTGCATGGCGCTGACCCTTAATATCCCGGTGGACAATGCCGTGTTCATGCAGGACGTTGATGGCTATAGTGATCTGTTTGCTGTAAAGCCTGATGACGTGCTCCTGCAGCCCCAGCCGGGATACCTCCTCCAGAGTGCCCTCGTCACAGTACTCCATGAAGATGTACATCTCCTCCTACAGGTGAGCACACAAGCATTAATACCACACCACTTCCACGTGCCACAGGTGGCTTCCTGAACTGATGCTTCTTACCCGGTGAAGCTCGACTCCGAAGTAGCGCACGAGATTCGGGTGTTTAATGCCTTCGAATATTTTCAGCTCGTCTGCAGTCTCCTTGATTGTTTTGTGATCATTTGGTTGGAATCGGATCTTAGTGGAGGCAAAAAAAAGAGAATGAGAAATGTCTGTTAACATCAACATCAACTCTGATCTGTTAATACTATTGAATTCCAACTAGATGAAGCGCATACCTCCTTCATAGCCATCAGCTCGCCGGTGTCAACATTGATACAGGTATACACCTTCCCATACTGGCCCTCACCTGTGATCAAGCACAAAGGCATCACATTTGTGTTTGCAAGAGTGTTAAACTACATCATAATCAAAAACAGTCACACCAAAGTCGTACCTATCTTATTGCCCCTCTGCCACTTGAAGGTCACTTTCCTGAGCCCAACTTGCATGACGTTGTCATACGACTTGGGTGTGTGGCACACCTGGCCGATGATGTTGCGTTGCTTCATCACGGCGTAGCGTTTCTCTTCGAATTTGCGAATGGAGAGACGGACGGCCTCCATGGGGCTTTGCCGCGCTGCTGTGTCTGAGAAAGGAGACAGGATTAATATTTAAACTCTGGAAACATTTCTGCTGTGATTTAGTTAATAGTAGTTCTGTGACTTGTAGCACCAGATTTTGGTACCTATCCCTAAATAATCTCACCCTTGGACTGGCTGATGAAGGTGCGGAGCTCCCAGCTTCTGCGTGAAGAACTGTTAGGGTCTCCCTTAGGATACGAAGGTTCTAAAGTAAGAAAGGAAAAGAAAAGAAGATTCAGACAAGGAAGGCTAATATGCAAAGCAGATCAAACACCATAGATCGCTGAAAGCTCCCACCTTCTCTGTCCTCTGTAGGGCTGGAGTGACGACTCAGAGACCTGAAATTCAACTCTGCTGCAACTGACGACAGCCGGTCATTCTCATGGAAACTGGATCCTCTGCAAAGACAAAGAAGAAACTGATGCAATGCTGTGATTCAATCAAAAACTACTTATTCAGATGGAGTGTTTCGGTCTGGCGCAAGTTAGTGCAATCTCATCTACCAAGAAGGAACTTTACTTTATAAGCTTTTTAACAGTACACTCTAGATACATTTTGCACTGAATGTTTCCTTTATCTTTAAATAAACGGAGGAAAATTTAACATTTTTTTCTAAAGGCATCTTAATTAAAGCATTTTTCCCAGACTTGTGTTCATAATGAAACTTAATACTGTAAATTACATGATTTAACAGATTACTACAAATTCAGAGGGAAAGAATCTGAATTCAGGAGATGTTGAAGATATAGATTAATTAGAGAGGGCCTTATGAAAGCCATTAACAGCTCAGCATTCATCAGTGGCATTCACACTTGAAGATAAGACCTTTATGCATGCTCGGATTTCTGTACTAATGCACCAGGAATTCTAAAAGCAGTCAGTCACCAGCATCAAAGCAAGACAGATGTGGATAACACTAAAAAGCAGAATTCATAGCCAACTCCTTCAGTGAAGTAGTGTTCGTTTTCACACCATGCACAACAATCACAGCCTCTTCCCTTAATCAGTAGACCTGTGGAAGTCTTCTTTTTTTGGAGTTGTTGACATTTTTGCAGGACTACATTTTAGGAGGCTACATTTTAAATCTGTGTTTTTTTATAGCCATGCAAATCACTGTGTATCAAGCCTCGAGACTAGAATAATTGTAATCTTACAGGCATGCTATGAATTAATTACACATACATTTAAGGTAAAATGGAAATGCCTTGTTATTTCATTTGATCTAAAGTCAAATGGCTTAAAAATGTAAGCAATTAAACTAAATCAAACAGACTGATCATCTGCATCTGTGATGCCCTGATGTGGAGCCTGTGTGTGACTTTCATTGTACAACAGTCAATCGAATATTTCACAAAATTTCCCAAATATTGTTGGTTTATATGCAATCAGAAGCTTAGAAGTGTTTCATTCTTTACGTTTTTTTAATTTACCGTTAAGGATATACACTGGCAGGACATCCCAGATTTGATAATTAGGTAAAATACTTTTTGGCTTTAAACTCTTCAGTACAGAACAAAATGTCCTGGATCTTGCAGTTAATAAATAACATGAAGTATTTCTTCCTCCATTTACAGAAGCCTTACAAAAACATTTCTGACAGCTTTTGGGTTTTTCCCCCCTTTTTTTGACCGAGCTGAACTCTGACAACAGTTTCTTCTTTGGGAGGGGGGCAAAGCTACCTGACGTCATTGGGGGTGCTGCCGGGTGCTTTGGTGTGGCTCTGTTCCCCCGGTCCCTGAGGGACAGGGCGAGGGCCGTTTGGGAACAGCTGGTTCCGGAGATCACAGGGGAGACTTCGAGAGCTGTGTGGTGAAAAAACAAACTGAGGAGCGCTGCCTTGGGAGGTAAGGTGGCTTGCATGGGATGTGTGAAGTTATATGTAGGTGTGTGACTGGGTGGCTGGTTCACGGACAGATATGCACACTCACTCTCACACACACAGAGCACACCACACACACGCACAAACAAAGAAGCTCAAATGTTTCACAAGCTTAACTAGCCAGAAAAAACATTAGAAGGTAAAAAAGCAAAGCCATGCAGGACAGAGTTTAAACATTAAAAGAAAAGTGTTGAAAAACTTAAAACTGCAGTCACCCACCTGAACCCTTCAGCGTTAGGGATGATCAGAGGGGGGTTTGGTGGATCACTATGGCAACGACCCACCAACTTTACAGGACGAGGACTATTTCTGGGACCTGAAAAGAAAAACAACAAATGCTAAATTTATTCAATTGTCCAAACCCCCTCCCCCCAAAAAACAGATCATCACTGGGTTTAAATCATGGGAATGAGAAATTAGTTAGCAGTAACAAGATATCTAAGTCGTGTTTTTATGACTCCAGTGCGAAAAAAGTTGGAACACTGTATTAAATTGCAATGATTTACTAATCTCATAGCCATATTTTATCCTCAATAAAACACAGAAAACATCAAATGTTGAAAGTGAGGCATTTTACTATTTCATGAAAGTATTAGCTCATCAATTTGATGGCAGAAATACATCTCAAAGATATTATATTGGGGTGAGAGGTAGAAGTGGCTGGAAAGGTAAGTGGTAATAAAATAAAACTGCTTGAGAAAGCTTTGCTCCTAATGAGATTAATTGACAGCAGGTCAGTAAAGTATTTTAGAGAGGCAGGATTTCTCAAAAGTGAAGATCAGCAGAGGTTCACCAATCTGCAAAAGACTGTCTACAAATTACAGAGCAAAAATCTAAGTTAATGTATTGGAAGTAATTTAACTGATGATGTAATTTAATGTAAACTTTGAATATCTCATTATCTGCAGTTCATAATATCATCAAAGGATTCGAAGGACACAAAGAGCAAAGTTGAAAATCAACTGGATACCGGTAAACTTTGGGCCCTGAGGCCCAAAAACAGACATGATCCTGTCTGGCTGTGAACACAGTTTACTGTAGGAGTCACAAAAGCAGGTTAAAGCTCTAACATGCAAACATGAAGACGTGAACATCGACGTGTGATCTGGAGATGCTGTCGTCTTCTTTGGGCCCGAAATCTTTTAAAATGAATTGAAGCAACCGCATACTGGAGCTATTACAACAGCGTAGCTTTCTAAAAGAAGAATCTAGGTGCTGAACTGGCCTTCCTGCTGCCCGGACCTTTCTCCAGCATAAAGCATTTGGCACAGCATGAAACAAAAAATATGACAAATAAGACCCAGGACTGTGGAGCAGCTAGAATCCAGACAGGACAATATCAGGCAAGAATGGGACAACACGTCTCTCCCAAAAGTACAGAAACCGGTCTCCTGAGTTCAGACATTTATGGAGCATTTGTACAGGAAGAGGGGATGTTATGCCTGTCCCCACTTTTTTGATTCATGTTGCTGTCATCAAAGTCAGTTAATCATTTTCATCAAATTAGCTTTTTTTCTACGCTTGATTGTAAATAAAATCTGGGTTTATGAGAGGTTTTCTTTACATTTTACACAACATCCCAACTTTAATTGATGGTCTATAATCATATCCCACTGTGCTGAACTACTTTACTCCATCAAAGACATAGATATAGCAACATTTTGCTTTATTCTGGTACTAGTTTGCCAACTTCATATCTAATTTTCCAATAACATAACACCTTTTCCATAAAAACATTATTTGGTGGTAGAATTATTTTTCCATAAACACTTAACGTGCATTATGTAACAAGTAATGTCATAACAGGACTCCTCAGATTTTCATATTTTTACTCATTTACTTTAACCTCCTAGGACCTGGCGCCCACATATGTGGACATCACATTTTGGGTTATTTAGACCAAAATATTCAATTTTGCTCTACAAGGGCCTGATATCCACTTACGAGGACATTATGCAGCTACCGTTCTATCAAAATTTTAAATGAATATCCTCATATGTGGCTCTTATTTTTCCTAAAAACAAAAATTAGGTAAAAGAAAAAAAGACATCTGGTAATTCTTTGTTTTTACATTCATCTGGTCCCAATATGCTCAAATATCAAAGAGAAATTAAAAATGCATGTAGTGGAAGAGTTCAGGACTTAGGAGGTTAAAGAAGTTAAAGTCAACTTCAAGACACACACACACTTTTTTAATATTCTATGTGAACTGAACTGTAATGTCATTGCTGCTGTGTCTGCTTTGTGTAGCAGTGTCCTCTCCATGGCATCCAGATTGTAAACTTGCAGCGTATAACCTGAAATCAATCCTGATATGGAAGATGCTATCGTGGAAGAGCTTCTTACCAAAGTACAGGCCAGTAACAGGGCTATGGGGTTTTCCAATCACATGTCCAATACATTCATTCATCAAGGCTTGTAAGTTCTGAAGAAACACAACATAAATTTTCAGTTAGTATAAAAATATTGTATTCCAAGCACGCCTATTGTTTATGTTGTAGGAAACTATACTTACCAGGAAGTCATCCTCTGGTAATTCTGATATAAAGGCAGGCTCAATAGCTTGAAGAAAGTCAAAACCCTGAGTCGCCCACCTGTGGAAGCGAAACATTGTTAATCCGTGCATGCAAAAACAAACCACAACAGAATGTTTAGTTAATGATTTATGGGGGGGTGGTTTGGTTTTTTTAAGCATTTAAGACAGGAAGCACTAATATGACAACTGACTCATACCCAGAGTTAACCGGGACTGTTTTTGTTTGAGTATTTGTCACACTATTATTAGACACTATCCAAAATGTCATGCTTCTGTCAAATTCTTCACTGCATTAAGAGTGCAAGGTTGCCATAGTAACGAGTCATGGCTCAAAGGAAAAGCTCTTGACAAAGAGCTCATCTTTAATGAACATTGTGAGTTTTCCACAGTAAATAAATATGGCAGCAGCAGAATAAAAATCTTATAGCTTAATACTCAACCAGTAGGCCTGGCTTTAGCTACAAAAAGCATCCCTGAGTAGCATATTGCAAACCAGAAGACTACCAAGCAGAGCAGATACTCAGGAAGGAGCACAGTGAACAATAAGTGTTCAGCTGATAGGAACATCTTACCTGGGTTTGGTGCCCCTGCCACTCTCACATTTGGTCAGGACATAGGTCATCCATTTGCGGGCAAAAGCTATGTAACGGTCCCCGATCCTCTGTCTGAACTCTCCTGACATCAGACGCACCACCTCCTTGTGATACTGGAAGCAAAAAAAGAGACTGATAAGATGCTAAACAACTGTGCAAAAGTCCTGAGTCATTCCTTCATTTCTTTGTATTTTGCTTCTAGGGAGCCAGACTACATTACAGTTACATTACAGTGGTTCTCCTGGCTTTTTGAAGGTCTTTCAAAGTTTTTCTTTGGGCCCTGGCTCATTTTTTCATCCATTTTCAGTCCAGTCTTTATGCCTGACTGTTTTCAGAGGAAATTTGTTTTGTTATATTTATAAAATAAGTCATAAAAAACTGAAAGATTATCAAAGTACAGTCAAGTTGATTGAGAATGGAACAAAGGCAGCCAACATCCAAAGAATGCCCTTCAAAAAGCCTGAAAAACTATTCCTATGCCTTACATTAGGGGTGGGCGATATAAACGATATACGATAGAAACAATATAAATTTGGCCAACGATAGAGATTTTGACTATACCGCTCTATCACGATAGCGCATGTTGATGATGTCATCAAGCTGCACCTGTTTTGGTCGAAAGCATTGCAGCGGCTACAACCATTATCATCTGCAAATTATGCCGGGCGACAGTCATAGCAAAGAGATGAAGCACTTTTGAAATATGGGGAAAGCCAAAAACTGTGCTTCCTCCACTTCCATAACATTGATTCAATAATGTTGAATTCTCTCGCAGCTGTTCTGTTCCCATGTTGTTGCAGTATATTAATAACTAAACTCGTATTGTGGATGAAAAATCTCAGTTGTTCTCCTGACTGAAGTTTGGCCCGTGTATAGCATCCTGCTATGCGATTGCATTTGTCCCTGACTACCAGAATCCGTCACGTTAACTTTTATCGAGTGGAAGAAAAGTTGGCGTTCATCCTCCAGCTTCACTGTGCTAATGTTGTGCTAACATAGCTGTGTCGCTAGCAATCATGTAGCACAACATTATATACCAGGTAGTCCAACTTCAGTAACCCCTCAAACGCCACTGCTGTTTAGTTTTCTGTCTTCATTTATGTCAGAAGTGGTAGCAGAGCTGTACGCTTTAATTCGTTTCAAAAATCTCAGTCAGAACATGGTATGAAATGTTTAGGTGTAAACTAGCGAGCTAACTTCCTGTTAACTTCTAACTCCGTTAAATTTAATAACTTCTGTTTTCATGGATGCCTGGATGTTAAACTTAATACCAGCCCTACCTTACATGCTGCATTTCCATGTATGTTTCAATAAATCACTGCTTCTGCTCAAAGCCTTTGCACAGTACTGTATGTAGCTGTACTTCTCAGTTTGAGTGCATTTATGTACTTAAAATAGCAAGCGTGCAGCAACAGGAATTGAGACATAGCATCTGCCCACACTTTTCCAGTCTTTTACCTCGAAGGCAAAGTTGTAGCCTTGTGTCATCGCCTCCCTGTAGTAATGATTCAGAGTGGCTGACTCGGACTCGTCGATCTCGGCCTTAAACTCTGTGGTAAACATGTTATCTACGCAGTCAATGGCATGCCTTATCTTAATGCATAGCTGCAGTGCCTCATTCTGTGAAAGGAGAGAGAAACACCAGAAAAGAAAGAGACATGTTTAAAACCTTTTTCATAAAAATGATTATTAATGCATGTATTTATTATCAAGTGCAGCCACGTGAGATTTTTATTTTGAAAGTAACAGATAAAGTTGCTGAAAGTTTAGTGGCTTCCATTTAGGAAGCACTTCTAAAATATGACCTGAAAATGATTCTGTTTCTTCTTTTTATCTAATGTTAATAGGGCAGAAATTCAGGGTAGCTGATAGCAGTTGCTATAAAAACTGATTTGAAAGTAGGACACCGACATGCACCTGTCTGCACAACAACACAGAATAAACCATGGGTTAGATGTCAAGCATGTGGTTATATAAGCACCTTGAGCTCTTCCAGAGCGCCCGCGATGAGGGGCTGACTCGATGTTTGCTCTCGGTTAGGAGTAAGCACATCCTCCATGGACTGCTGAAAAACCTTTCTCTGAACCACCAGGTGAGCTGACTGCATCACTATCAACAGCATGTTCTCTACCTGAAAGCATATCGAACCATTGTGAGACACATAAACGTCAGGTACAAACAGGCAGACGCACACACTTGCACGCAGACCGAATTTAGAAATGCCACAAACCTTCATGGCCCTTAAAGTGTCAACAGTTTCCATCTGTGGGACCAGCTTGAGAAGCTGTCCATCCCACTGAGCCCAGTCAGAATAAGTGGTGGAATCCCCAGCTTTGTGTTTGCTCATGAGCAGGTAGGCCTCGTCCTCAGCGATTTCATCTGGCTCTTTAGAACAGTCTTTGCCAGCTGCAGCATTAAGAAGCTGCAGGATGACGGGTCGCTGATTCATCAAGCCACAGGGGACAAAAACCTGAAGCTCTTCCA